TGATGACATAATGTTTCGTTTTCATTACCTAAAAATATGATAGAGCTGCAGCACTTTCATCAAACATTAACAACACACACACACACACACACACACACACACACACACACACACACACACACACACACACACACACACACACACACACACACACGCACACACCCCTGTCGATCCAGCTCTCTATTTTTTGCTGTCAGTCAATAGAGGAGTCGGTGGCATTTCCTGCCTGCAGACAGCTTCTCCCATCAGGCCTCATGACTGACGGCGAGACTCTTGTGCATGCGTCTGAATACAAGTGTGCTAATAAACTATTCTTTATCCGTCCTCTAATGTGTCCATCAATCCATTTCACCGTCTGAAGCCGAATAAATATCTTCAACGCGGCCACAGCTTGTGATGCTGAGGCGTCTCACTCAATAACTGAAATCACACAGGCTTAATGCTCTCTGAAATCTCAACAAGCACTTTTCCAACAGGCTTTGTTTGGCTTGTCTTGAGTTTAACACACGTATTGTGCAGCGGAGTTTGCACATAGAGACATTCTGAGGCTCAATGTGTATAAAAAAAATAGCAAAAACGTCCACCTCCCCCCCCCGGCCGTCTTCATGACCTTTTTGAAGGTATTACACCTGGAGAGTTCAGAAGACCATTTGTCTCGTGCACTTTACTCCGGAATATTTACACAGAGGAACTGCGTCATTCCCAGATGAGCCCATGCAGCAGGTTGATGAACCGCAGGCAGGAAAAGGGCAGCTATGAGAGCGATGGCAGAGAAAATGTCATCCTGTGCTCCTTGTAAAAGGTAGTGTGACTTAGAGTGGGGAGAGAAACAGCTGCTGATAATTGAGAGTATCTGTCGTCATGTAAGGAGTCTGGATTTTGGCAATTGTACACTTTTGAAATGTTCAATAATACATGAATAGCTTTTTTTCTACTTTCAAAAATCCTGTAAACTGTGTTACATGTGTGTCTCTGGATGGTCACTACAGTACAGTATGTTTGTAGGTCATTAAACAACAGCCATGCCTCTATACACTCACCTATGTAGTTTAAAACAAAAAAATGTTGTGTGACTGCAGAAGGAACCAGGCAAAGTTTTCACAAACAGGTGACAGAGAAAGTGTCTGAGACAGCTGAGCGCCTCAAAGAAGTGCCAGCAGATGGTACGGGTGTCTAACAATTCAAAAATATTCAGCTATGGAGCAAAGCTGTCAAGATGTGCGGAGGAGTCGGGTTATGCAGAGGAGCGGAGCAGAGAGAAATAACAACGCTGCAACATTAAGAAATCAGCTGCAGAGAGATCACCTGCCCGAGGGTTTCAAGCGAGTTCTTTCAGACCTGACCTCTTCGTGAGTGCCTCCTTTTTGTTTACATACTTTCTTTAAGAGTCAACCTTTCACATTTTGTCTCTTGTTGTCCCGTGATATACTTTATTCCTATTAGTCACAGGGGTCTACAAGCACATGACATGATTTGCCACATAGTTGCTTTCCAATCAATGAACAATCACAAGATGGATAAAATAAAATATCTGTTTTACAAAATACAGGAGGAATGTTCATTTTCAAGTTTATAGTACATGCTTTGATTTTCTAGCTAAATTTAAAGCAGGAAATGAAATCCAAAAGAATTACGTTTTTTAGATAAGTATATCAGTAACATGTTTATTGTTATTTCTAGTTGAATTTTTGGAAAACCAATCACCATATAGGGCTGCTCAATTAATCGTATTTTAATCGCAATTACGATTATGGCTTGCAACGATTACGAAAACAACGTAATCGAAATAAAACGATTATTATTTTTTTTTAATTATTTTTTTTTATTGGTTTTTCAGTTGAATTATACTTAAAGTTCAGGGTAATCAACTGTTAAAAACATACTGTTACAAGCAAACATACACATTTTTTTTCTCCAATAAATTGATGTTTTCAAAGTAAATGAATAATCGTTTTTAATAATCGTGATATCAATTATTGACCCAAATAATCGAGATTATGATTTTTGCCATAATCGAGCAGCCCTTACCGTATCATCACCAAAATAGCAACATAAAGCTTCACAGTTGGTCAGATCAAACCGGGGAGATTTTTTAAAGTTTTGAGTTAGATGAGAGTAATTTTTTTTACACCTTGTTCAGTTTCTGGGCCAAACTGCAAGACTACGTTCTTCTGGCCTAATTAGCCTAATTAAAATCCCATGAATGCAAATATCCAATTAATGCCGCACATCTATCCTCAAGACTCTTGCAAACTCTTTTTCTGAGCAAACTGTGAACAAAGGAGACGGAGGTTCCGGACAACAATGCACGTTTTTTATTTTCAAATGTGCTGCCTACAAGGAGCAGACATGTAAAGTTGTGTTACGTGTTGTTGCAGCATTGTTTAAAACAATGTATAAAAAGGCACTGTGTGAACAGAGAGGGAGGAAAATAAATAACAAAAAATAATCCTTTTGATAAGATTCTCTAAAACACACCTGCTGCCAGAAATGCCATTAAATGTCAGCTGTCTGGGTTCACAATACACGCACACACACACACACACACACACACACACACACACACACACACACACACACACACACACACACACACACATTTCGTTATCTATGTCACCTTAACACAGTGTTAGAAGGTCGTGTAAAGGAGGATGGAGTCCCAGGAAAACGAACCAACCTTTTCTCTAATGACATTCACCGAGAATATAATGGGGACCGGTGAGAGGACAGAACGGCTGGCGGACTATTCTTCAGCTCCAATTCATGTGTTAGAGGTATGGCTGATGCATGATGGGATATGACAGTTGTTGCTTTGTATCAGCGGGTCAAACAGCGAAGAATTAAACCTGCTGCTGTGGAAATGTACAGCAATATGTACTGTAATATAAAATAAGCATTCAAATAGCAAAAGGTTATTATTGTAGAATGCAAACGCCAACAGTAATGCTAAAATACCCCAGAATCCAGAAGGAATACCCAAAGTATAATCGCAGTGGTAGCTATTGGAAGTCAACTCTGTGTGACCTGGAGGCCCCAGGCTGTGTGTGTGTGTGTGTGTGTGTGTGTGTGTGTGTGTGTGTGTGTGTGTGTGTGTGTGTGTGTGTGTGTGTGTGTGTGTGTGTGTGTGTGTGTGTGTGTGTGTGTGTGCGTGAGTGAGGGCAGCTGTTTCTCTGTTGAGGGTTCAAAACGCATGAAGAGAAAACACACATTTGAAATAAATCATGAATAGCTAGGGCCTAGAAATTAAACATAACTTTGGTTCACTCACTTTAACAGAGTCACTCACTGATTACTTTAAACACATTGAGAAAAGTCACAGTTTATATCAATTATTATGTAAAGTATTTTCTTTACCAGGTCAGTTTGTTGAGGAAGTTTTGAGTGCCGAGAAAAGCTATTTCCGTTGGGAGTAAATTACATAAGGGGTATAGGGAATACTGGGAAAATGTCAGAATACCATGTTGATGTGATAGATAAACACCTCAACAGATACATCACAAAAGACAGAAAGAAAGAAAGGAAGAGAAGGAGAAGGAGATGGAAGAAAAGGGAAAATGGAAGATCCCTGAAGTCTGTCTGTTCCGGCTGAGCAATCAGAACTGTCGGCTTTCCAAATTGACAATTTTCTCCAAGTGTTATCCACAAAGACGAGAGGGTTGTTGTATATTGGCCTGAAGAGATGGCTCTCTCGAATAAACAAGTATTTACTGGCACACATGCACAGAATGCACAATCAACGGGGGAATCTGGGAAAGAGCCGAGACAGAAATGAAGTTGGACAGAACACATTTCTGCAGGAGAAGGAGGCCATGCTGATGCTGTGACAGGACTTTCACACCTCCTGCCTCCGCACTGTGAACATCTCCCTCCAACATCCACCAGGAAGTGAACCAGAGCCTCCCTTTCATGCAGGACACCGTCTGAATTACACAGGCTGCACAGAACAACCTAATGTGAGTATATAAGACAGAGAAACGGTAGAACATTGTGTAATAAACAGCTTTTTGATTGCAGCATCTCCACACGAAAGGATGTCGAGCCAGGATGATTAAGTGTGTGTGAATGGGGGGTAAAAAAGAAAAGCTGTTACTCCCTCTAGTGTACATAGTTCATTCTAACACCCACTGTATTAATGTCTAACAACAGAACACACCTCACTGTATATTATACAGATTATTAACTTTCATTACTTTAACCCTCACTAAGGTCATGACAGAGCATGCTCCATTGGCAGTAGCAAACTTCAAGATGTGTTTGAAAGCCTCAAAACGACAGTAAGTGGAGCTTTGAGATAAGATTTGTTCAAGAATAAAATGCATAGAGATGCGACTTGTTTACAAAGCAGGCAGTCAAATAACAAATATAGGATGAAACAACTTTCACAAACCCAATAGTTTCCCTTCCAATAGCTTCTTATTATGCCCTAAAGGTAGTTTGTATTTTGTCTCTAGACACAATCCAATCAGTCAACAGAAACAGCTAATTTGTTGTTTTATGAAGTGTATTTGTTGTTGTTTGTTTCCTATCTGAACGCCCGGGGACTACAGATGCAAATGAGCTTCTATCTAACTTTAATGCAATTACTTTTAATTGCGTTTCGTCCATCCAAAGCAAACCCTACAACAAATGTAAGTTATTGAGTTGCATTATGGGAAATGTAGTATTGATCAAAGTCCTTCAACTTGTAATACAACGTTTCAGGAGTTTAAATTACTTTAAAACTATTCAATTAAAAATGAATAAATGGAAGTTATTTGACTTTTAAAGGATCATTTAAAGCTCTGAAGAGAGGAGGAAGACCACGAGTAGATCAAACTTGGTGCAGGTTATATTGTGTTACCTACAAATGATAATCATGTCAATCAAAACAATTGAATAATCCTATAATCTGGAAACTTTACATACAATTAATCTTTGATGTCCTGCCTCTAGATGGCAGTAAACTACAGCTAAAGAGCCAGATCAGCACAGCATCACACCAGAACACACAGTCATAAAAAACATTTTATTAAAGAAGAAGCGGGATGGTTTGATTCCCTATATTCTATACATTATGTGCTATAGGATGTAGAAGACAGACAGAGACACACAGGACAGGAGCGCTTACCCAATTCATATTTTTCACACAATGAAGAATGAATTGTCAGAGAGCGGTGACCATGTGCAGCACCAGTTTGTTTCATTGGCAGTACAACTTAGAGACAACATTAAATAAAGATTGCTTTGCAGGAGTAAATATCTTCCCAGGAAACACTTTGTGACTGAAATTAAAGTTGGACGTCAGAGTGAAAACCTAATAATTTAGGGTTTGAAGTTAAGTGTATTTCAAGCCTATACAACTACATCCTCTAAAAATGCATGTTTGAAGTCTTTTAGATTTCCTGTTTTGCTTTTAGAAACATGTCCTTGCTGACCTCGGATCAGAGCTCCTATACGGCGAGATCGATGCTGTTCACATGAAAATGATTGTAATACTTTAGTGATTAAAATACTGTTGACTTTTCAATCCAAACAAACACGTTGGCCCTTTTTTAAAGCAAAAAGCATTCGACTTTTGATACCAGCAGATAGTTATTAATGATTATGAAGTGGGGAGGTGATGAACCGCAACGTTGCTACCACACTGAACCGAATCCGCCCATCAGCAGCTTCTTCTCAATATGCGCAGAGCAAACCTTATTTATTAACACTACAAACCACACATCCTTCTTTATGTCGGACTTCAGAAAACAAACTGCCCAATTCAACATTTAAAACCATTCATTGTTAAATAAATGAAAAAATACATTTCTCTTAAAGAAACATCTGAACATGTGTAGCTCCTGTGTATGAAATGAGTAGAGTGAGGTTGTTGTGGTTGTTGCTTCATCTCTCATACAGACATAAAAGCACAAACTGTAAACAAAGCAGGGAAACCAAACTTCAATCTGAACTCATAAGAGGCTTTTTTCTTTCCTATGCCTCACACATGTAATGTCAAACAGTAACGCTTCTATTGAAATCAACAACTAATGTCAGATAAGGTGTAAACAAAGTCTGAAACAAAGGGGCTGAATGAGCCAGAGTGTGAAGTACAAAATCCTCTGTGTGATTGTGATCAGCTGACCGAACACACTCAAAAACCCTGAATTGTAAGGAGGCGAGATTGAAGAACTAGGGTTAGACCGATATCGTGCCGATACTGAACATAAATATTCAATAATCCGAAGACTGCACAGTGTCAGTGTTTCCAGCACATCTGCAGCAGAAACACAAAAATTGTACAAAAAAAATGCTCTACTTTAATAATTGTAATATCTGTTACAAATACTAAACTGCAAAAATGTCAACATCACACCCATATCGGTTGAACCCTAGTGAAAAGATGCAAAGCCACAGGTGACGGTGTCGAGATGCAAATATACACACACATTTACATTTTTGCATAAACTCTATGTACATACATTACGTGTGATGGGACTAGTTTTGGCAACCAACGCTGAGAAAATAGTTTTTTTTCCCTCGTTCATATTAAGGCATGCCTGTGTGAGTTCAGTCTGACCCCATGTCCAGCTGGATTTCAGTCTGTTTTACGGCGCTTATTTTAAAAGTTTGATTTACTGGACTTAAATCTTCTGGGGTCCCACACAGCTGACTTCACTGGAGCTGTCTGCTGTGATGTCATCACTTGGCGACCTGCTTGTTCACTCCTCCAAGGCATGACATCATCTCGAAACAGAAGTCTGCTGTGCGGCCCCTCGCTGTGATGTCCTACTCCAATCAGTGGGAGCCTCGCTTGTCATTGTCATCGTCTTCACGTCAGATATTTGACTGCCGTCGCCCCCTGTTGGTTCCCAGTGATGCTCGCAGCCTCGGCTCCCTGGCCCTGTAGGTGACATAAAAAAACATTTTGAGTATATACAGTAAAGGGATCAGAACACAATATAATCTCTCCTGAAGGAACCCTATAATACACAGAGATCTGATATATTTTATAAACAGCTCTCTAGGATTATTTCTGTGTCCTTAAAGGTGTTTTAGTTTCCTTACTTGTAGTGCTCATTGAAGTCCAGTCTGAAGCTGAGGAAACGCAGACTCTCATCCGTGCTGGTCATCAGCAACACCAGGAACTGCTGCACGATGTTCTGGAGAGGGGAAAGGAGTGGATCAAATAATATATATTAAAATGAGATAATCCAATCCACTTTATTTCTATAGCACATTTAAAAACAACAGAGTTGAACAAAGTGCTGTACATCAACAACTGTATAAAAACATAGCATAAATACATAAAAAACAGACAGGACATGAAACAAATTCAAAATTCTTGAAAAGGCTTTTAACTTGATTATTTATTTATTAATGTGATGCTATGAACTATTTATAGTGTAAATTGGAATTATCCACATCTGTGCTCCCGGGTGTATCTGTGTTTTCTTCCTGTATGTTCCTGCCTGTGTATTAATAAAGTTGTTGATTGATTGATTGATTGATTGAAATGTAAAACACGAGACAATGAAACCAGATCAGAAGCCACAGACTGAGGAACTCCTACATGATGTACAAACAATACAAAACACTAGTAAGATAAAAACCCAAATGTAAAAGCACAAGTGTCACCTGGTCTGTAAATGCCAGGGAAAAGAAATGGGTTTTCAAACGAGATTTAAAAACAAGCAGAGTTGGAGCAAGTCTAACCTGGAGGGGCAAGTCGTTCCATAAATCTGGAGCTGCAACAGCCTCTGATGATAATAATAAGGATGCTCTAAATGCTCCTAGAAGTCACTGAGGCTGGTACCTGGTAGAAGTGTGTGAGGATGCGGAGCTGGGAGCGCATCTTTGGTATGGTTTCCTGGAACTCCTGAATCCTCTTCTTCTCCTCCGCTTCCTGTTCAGCCGTCACTCCCCACTGACCCTGAATCAGGAGAGTATCGCTCATTTAGAAGCCATCATACAACCACCATCCCTTTTTCTCCCTGTATCCAACTCATCTGTATCGCCTTACCTCGCTCTCCTTCTGCTGCTTCCTCTCCTCAAACTGCAGCCGCAGGGTGAGCTCCTCCAGAGCCGAGCGGTACAGCGAGTCCTGGGCGCTCTGAAACTCGATGATCTGGTCGAATATGGCCCTCAGCTGGTTCAGAAGATTCTGCAAGGACACACCGAAACAGAGTTAAAGGAGGTGTGTGGAAAAGAGCAGGCAGAATGATTCAATCTGGTGTGTGTGTGTGTGTGTGTGTGTGTGTGTGTGTGTGTGTGTGTGTGTGTGTGTGTGTGTGTGTGTGTGTGTGTGTGTGTGTGTGTGTGTGTGTGTGTTACCCTGCTGCTGTTGTCTAGCAGGCATCTTGAGATGACTCTGTCGAGGAACAGGTCGTGGGCGGCGATGATGTGGTCGAGATCCTGCGCCTGCTGCACTCTGTTCCACAGCTCGTCCCAGGAGCACTCCAGCACCTTGTATTAAAAATCAAGACATAACTCAATCAGTGATCTCGGCGCCTTGCTATCCAGTTAAAATAGTATTCTTATATTTATTCTATCTGATGTCTGAGTAGATAAACCTACACTTAAATCAGCCAGCTTTCAAATCTGCAGACCAGAGTTCCTGTTAGCCGGTAATTACCGGACTACGACCGGTAAAATATGCTGAAGACCGTCAAATCTAAATCTCTCCGGTCAAAGGGTCCGGTCAAAATATATTTCCCCTTAGCGCAATACCACATCAGTTGCGCAACTTGCGCCGCTTACAGTATGTGACAGACAAAAGAGTGTGTGACAGAAACTGATAGTCAATTCTAATGTCTAACACTTAATGTGGAGAAAGAGATGTCCTGTATGGGTTGATTGTGCGTTGATCTGTTGGTAATGCCTCGGGGTTCCGGTGGGCATGTAAACAAATGCATAATGCTGCGCTATACTTTGCGGCCTCACCCAGTTGCATAGCGACGCTTATTGTTTAAGTGTCTTTTAATAAGCAGGTAGTCATATCATTAGCTAGAACTAGCTGGATCTGATCGATATGGACATAAACGCGAGTAAAGTCTAATCTGACGGGAGAGAGAGATCAGCTGCTGCTGACGAGTCGACACGCAGCTCTGCATGATCACATGCAGCGGTGAGCGGAACAAAACACACACTTCAGGTTAGAATATCACACGTAGCTATTTTAATTACCTCTCAAACTACCGTAACTAGTTATAGATATGTTTAGTTTTACTATCGGGTCACTCATTACTGATCCGCGAGCTGCTACTCACGGGCTGTCAGGAGAGAGAGAGAGCGCTCCGTTTATTATTCCCGTGTTATTGTAAATTACTGTTCACTTTTGAATAATGTAGTTAATCTACTATAATTAGTTTGTTTAATATCGAATCATATCAATTTGTTTTAAAGCTCAATAAATAACAAAGAAGACCTTTGACCGGCACTTTTCAAATTGTGTCCGGAAGATTTAAACTTTAACGGACATGTTGACCGGCGAAAAAATATTCTAACGGGAACTCTGCTGCAGACCCATCTAAAACATCCTCTTTAATCTGACTTCAAAGTGAGTTTTTTTCTTCTGGGTTTGAACCAGCAGCCTAACCTGGAGGCTACATTTGATCCTGAGTCCCGCAGCATTCAACAGACTCAGCAGAAATCTCTCCTGCAGTAATTACTTCTTTCTTTACTGGTGTTTTACAGCCTGTGATGGTAACGGCGCTGCTAATGGTCTGACCTCAAAGGTGATGTAGTACTGCATTTGGTGGATGAAGTGGACCATCTCGGAGGCCAGGATGTGGCACTGATGCAGCACACCGGACAACTCTGCAGGGTGAAAAGCACAAGGGAAGGAACAAAACAAGCACATCAATATCAAAATAACACGTGCTTAAGAAAAAAAATGTTATTTTAGTACCTGGCATGGTTTTGAGCAGCTTGGCGTTACACATCTGTCCCTTCCAGATGTCCGTCAGTGTGTACTCCATCCTCTTTGCCCTCCACAGGAAATTAAACACACGCAGGTAGTGGCCCATACACTCCCTTGTAAACACCTGAAACACACACATTTATATATTCGAATATGTGATGACAGCAGTAATACATAGAGATCAGGAGATTGAATGTGTGAGTTTTGTCATACCGTAGCAATGGGTCCATCAACGTGGTAGTCAAGACTGAAAACATCCCAGCCGGTATCACCTGGAGACACCTAGAGGCAACAAAAAGACATTTGTCAAAAGAACAGGGGATGCTTAGGTCAGACCTGCAACACACACACTCTCTCTCACACACACATTACCTCCAGCAGGCGTACATCCAGCCTCTTGAGGATCTCTGCGTTGTCATACTGAGCGTTGGTGGCTCTGACTGCCGTCTCTAAGATCCCCGTCAGGTTGTGTTGGTACAAAGTGGTGGCGGGACGCACTAACTCCGGTCTAGGATTTAAAATAATTAGGATACATATTCTGTCTAATAAATCAAATGCAAAGATTCAAAGTGTGTGTTCCTCACTTGAGCAGGTCCATCAGGTGTCTGATGAAGTCTCCCTGGCCCAGCAGCAGGTATCTCCTCATGGCCTGCAGGTGCTCCAGCAGCAGGTAGTTTCGGTTCAGAACGTCCAGCAGGTATTTGCTGGTGTCGAAATAGGCGGCGTCGATCTTCTCCTGAAACGCCCCTTCAAGGTCTGACAGCAGCTCCGCAGCTACGAGGAGACAGAGATGACAAAGTAATTCATTAACGAGATATTGAATTGCTATTTTTACTATCTTATCTTAAATCCTTATTTTGTTAGGGACAGACTGATTATTAGGTCACTTTAGTGCTGCCAGTTAATCAAACATATTTCACAAGACCAATAACAACTTTTTCTTTTCTCCCAATGAGTAATACGTGTCTAATTCCTGCAGTCTGGTTTCCTGGTCTGCTGCTGCTGGACGATGATGCAGAGGAGAACCTGATGTCCTTCATCACATACAGTAAGAGCTTTAGATCAAACAGGTCAGGAGAAGTCCTGCAGACTGGATCAATAGCTAAGTATACCTTTTTTCCTCTATATAGTCAATGCAGAGGAGGACAAGGCCAGCGAGCGGTAAGAGCATCGATTACTGCCCGTCCACTCGCCTACGTCAATACAACCATATCAATACGATGAGGAGGGAATACAGGAGAGGCTTCTTATTGGTCGGTGATGTCGTCAACAATAAAGACTTCCAAGGAAAGTCAGCATTAACCTTTATTTATGTGCAATAAACGTGCACAGAAACAGTAACAGAGAAAGACATGCTCTGAAATTGTTTACCGGAAAGTGTGAGAGGACATAAGAGAGACACGGAGACTCTTACTATCTCTGGGTGTGTCTGCAGAGTTCGACGCCGGCGTGATTTTGCCGAGCGGTGTTCGGTCTTGACAGACCTGATGCAGGAAGTTGATGGATTTACCAATTAGCAGGACCTAGAGGGAGAAGAGAATAAGTGAACATGCCTCAAGTAAACCGTCTTACCTGGATGTGTGTAGCAACAAGTGTTGTGAAGGATTAAAAAATGTTTGTTGATGTTTGACTAATTAGCACGCAACAGTTTGAGTCCAAATGTAAAAATGTGCACTAGAGATGTCCCGATCCGATCACGTGATCGGGGATCGGAGCCGATCACGTGATTTTCAAAAGATCGGAATCGGGAGAAAAAAATCGGGGATCGGGATTTTTTTATTTTTTTATAGATACTTTAAAAACATTTTGTATTCAATGTTACAGAACAAAAATGACCATGTTCAAGTCTTAAAGTCATCCTGAGGCCTTAGTTTTGGTTTCAAATGACAGAACATCATGTATGTGTTGCTTCTTTGGGGCTTGTTTTCATAGACCTGGTTGCTTATTTCTCTCAAATCTGGCAACAGAGTGGGCGCAGTGTCTAATTGTAGCAGTAAGCTAACGAGTACTGATA